CACCCACACCTACACCTACACCCACACCTACACCTACACCCACACCTACACCTACACCCACACCTACACCTACACCCACACCTACACCTACACCCACACCTACACCTACACCCACACCCACACCCGCGCCCACACCCACACCCACACCAACACCCACACACCCACGCCCACATCTACACTCCACCCACACCCACACCCACACCCTTTCCATGACTTTCATCCTCACGTCCAACTGTAGTCGTCGGTTCGGGCCCCTTTCCAAGGGTTTTCCCTTAGCCTCAGCTGCGACCATGAGATTTTCAGACTCCACACTTTGCTTTCCTCATCCTCAGTCGTCCTTGAAGAGTTTTCATATCCCCTCAATGGTTTTGCTCTCACCCTTAGGAAGTTAGTTCACTCGTAATTCAACATTTCAAGTTGAACTGAAACCATTTCAATTGAAAACTTTAATTGAAATAAGTTCAATGGAATTCAACTTTCAAGTTTGACATATATGGGAAACGAAGACTAATAAGCATGATCGATATGAGGACTTTCATGGTCTCACGGTACAATATGACCTATATTTCGATTGGGTCTATTCGATTGTCATCATCAGTATTTTGTTTTTTTCGGCATATGTGTTTCACTAATATTCTGATCCGTTACTCTGCACAACAGTGTCTCAGAACACATGCTTTCGCAACAACACTAACAACACCATCACACCGCTGTCAACACACTGCTTCAGCTTCGCTTGTCGAAGTATTGACTGTGTTCTCTTTCTTTTGAAAGTTGGAAAAAACCAACTGTTGACACTCAACAAACTGCACCATTCGTCGATTTCTAATCAGACTGATTCTGCGCAAAAGAAAGCAAATACTCATGTATATGTCATGCAAATACATCGTTTTTTTTCGCGAAAAAACGCAGGGAAAGTATGCACATCAAGGGTGTGGGTGTGGATATGGATGTGGGGGTGGGGTGTGTGTGAGTGAGTGTGGCGTATGTGGGCATGGGTGTGGTTGTGGGCTGGGTGGGATGTGTGTGGATGTGAGTGTGAGTGTGGCGTGTACGGGCATGGGTGTGGGATGGG